AGGTAGGCCAGCTCTCTCCTACAACCCTCACCCCATCCACCGCTACCCTCTTAACCACAGACTCACAAAGCCCGTAAGGGTACGTGTTTTCATGACTGTAGAATGCTAAGAAAAAATTTGGTATTAATGGTCCTTTTCGAAAGAGGTCTTGTGATACCTTTCCTGTGATCTTTCCTGTCCACGAGCCGTAACAAAGGGATGCTCTTCACGTATGTTCAATACAAAAAAGTATCGCTAATCACATTTTAAAAAATTTTTACCCTAAGCGTTTTCAAATATGAAGAAAAACGTTAGAGTTGATTTTGCAGTTGGCATTTTGAATGTGGTGTTTTGCAATATAGAATCATCGTGTTAGGTTTTTATTTTGGATTTGTCCTAGGGAAGTAGTTGTTGTGTTTAGAGAAAGTGTGCTTCCATCTGTGAGATGATTTTGTTTATGGAGATACTTATCCAGTGGTTCCAATCTATTAAGTCTGCATCTGTGGCTCTGATTTAGTTGATTTCTGTACATATACAGATTTAATATACTTCTTGCAACATTCCATAAATTTATTTATTTATGTAATGCTTCTTTTGTTTTTATTCTGCCCTTGTAACTCAGTACCTGTAGAGAAAGTGATTACATAGTAGTTTCACCCTTTGGAAATATTATTAGATTTTGAGTCTGCTGTTATTTGTTGAATGTTTTAGTTTCAGGGTTTGTTATGCTAAATTTTTGGATGGCATTTGCTGAATTGAGTAAAATTTAAAATACAATAAAATCTAAAGGAGAGCATTTCAATTCTTTCTACTTATTTGATCTTCTGAAAATATTATTACACTTTGGAAAAGCAGAGACTCAAATTTATGAAATTGCAGGAGGCAAACTAGTTGCTAGCAGATGAAGTACCATGTGACCAAACTGTTTTATCAAGAATAGAATCCCATCGTTACAGCAGGGGCTTCTTTGAAGAAGCAGCTATCAAGCCACAGTACTTGATAATCACAACTTGCTGGGTGTCTGTTGGGTCTGACCCTGTGCACCTGTGTGATCAGGACGGATGAGACTTGATCTCTGCACTCCCAGACCTCTGCAGCGTGCTTGTAGAGGTGATACCTGTGTGGAAGTCACTGCATTACAGGGCAGTGCTCGAGGTGTTGTAACACTGATGGAGTTGATGCCATAGGAGTTGAGATAAGGGGAGCTCGCCATTTGAACGTGAAGGATGTCTTCATGGAGAAGATGAACTCGGATACTGTTTTACACTGATTAGTGTCATTGCCATTTCTAATAGTTTGGAGAGTGGTCAGAACTTAAACTCCTGCTTACCCATGCTTTTTCATTTGGCTAGCCAAGAGTATGACATAATGGTTACGAGTAAAATATCTTTCCATGTCCTCAATAAATGTTACCTATTGTCATCAGTTACACTTAGCTTCAAAACTCAAATCAATCCTGGCTCCTCCAAGAAACCTTTCCTGTCAAACCACGGTGTATGCGTTGCTCCCTCTGTATTCCTGGAGAATCCTCAGCATGGCATTATAAGAGCACTAATCTATCACCTAGATTTCTGATTGCTACTTTACTTCTCTGTCTCTTTCACTCAAGTTCCTTGAGGTGATGGGATGTATATGTCCCAAACCTAGTGTTATTTCTAGTGCTCAATACATTTTTTTGTTGAATGAATGATCGAACTGAAAGATTACATTCAGTGTAAGAAAATGGATATTATGCAAGGCATGATATTTATCATCACGACAGTAGTGATGATGGGGAGAAATGAATGGATTCAGGATAGGTTTTGAGGTAGAATTAACAGGATTTATTGATGGACTGGATGTGGAGAAGGAGGGAAATGGATAAACCAAAGCTTGAGGAACTTGGTAATGCCACGAATTGAGGTGAGGGAGACTGAAGGAAGAACAGGCTGTGTTTCACAGGTGTGGAGAAGCCCTCTCCACTTCCCAGCAGAGCTTTCAAATATGCGGTTGCATACGAGTCTGGACCTCAAAGAAGAGATCAAGACGGGACATATAAATCAGGAAGTCAGTGTATGGATGGTATCTGAGGCTACGTAGCTGGATGAATCGCCCTGTGACAGCGTGTACATTAAGGAGAGAAGAGGACCCAGGACCCAGTTGGCAGAACTCCAGCATCTAGTGGTCTGGAGAAGTAGCAAAAGACACTGAGGGAGGAGAAAAGCAGGAGAAAAACTTTCTCAAGGAATCGCCAGTTTAGTCAAGTGCTGCTGAGGGATTTGGATGAAAGGTGAGAGTGGGCATTGCCTTGGGCAACATGCTGATTGTCAGTGACCTTCATTGTGCAGTGGTGGGAAGTGGAAGCCAAACTGGAATAGGTTCCCGACTGAATGGGAAGTGGGGGATTAGAAATCTGTAGGGAGCTAAACCCTTGAGTGGGATGCAGGGGACAGGAATCATGTCTTTCAGCATCACCAGCCTTAGGTTTCCGACTTTCCAAATTATTTCACTAAGTCCCAAACTGAACTCATACACTGCCCTCCCAAATCTGCTCCTCTTCCTATGTTTTCTGTTAATGAGTTCACTTTCCTCCTAGTGATCCATACCGGAGCCCTCATGGCTAATGTGCTCGTGACCTTCCTCCCCTGCGCTTATCCCCATGTCACCAGTTTCATGGACTGTTGAGTCGTCTTGGCGTTTTTCAAGTTGGACTCCCTCTCTTCATGGCCATTGCGACTTATGTTGCTCTTGCCAGGCACCAGTCAGCTCTTCTTCAAACTCTTCTAATAGTTTCCTAAGGACTCCCCGCTTTCTTCTCCCCCTTGTCAGTACATCTATCCATCACAGCTAGAAGGGCCTTCCCAAAGCATGGCTTTGAGCATGTTATTCTCCTGCTAAAAATAAAACCACATGCTTTAGCCTGGCACTCAGAACCCTCTACCTCTTTAACCTTATCTTCCCCTACTTTGTCTTCATTCAGCCTGCGGTTCTGAAGTATTTGCTCTTTCCTAGAGATAACTCGCACCGCGTGGCCTCCGTGCTTTCTCTTGGTATCTCCGTGGTATCTCTGCTTGACGCACCTTTCCTTCCCTTCTCTTACATCCTCTGTATGTCCCAGTGCTGTGACCTCTGACCTTGTAGAGTCAGCCCTAAAAATTAGGACATTTCAAGGCTTTCAGCGCTACTGCTTTCCTTGATCAGTTTTTGAAAAGTCCCATAGTACTGATTTTTACTTTAAGCCACAGTTGTCTGTGCCACCACTTCCTCAGCCAGTCTCCTTTTTCAGGAATTGGGTACAGGAATGATTTACTGTCTGAAAGGACGTTTCTTGGAAGTCTGATGAACAGCCGTACGTCATGGTGTTCTGTAAACAGAGGTGCCTAGAAGGAGTGCCCCGCTTGCCTCCCCTCTTTTCTCATAGCAGCTTCCTGTTGCTTTGATGAGGCAGCCAGAAGGTTGGAAGGTAGGCAAGGTAACTCCCATGGAAGGTTCCCTCCACTGGGCGATGACACTGGCTTCTTTGCTTTATGGTTGTTGGTATTTGAGGGCAGGAGTGGGGAAGAACATCTGTGAAATCATTACTCCGCATTTTGCTGTTTAAACAAGATGCCTCTTCGAAATTTTGCTCACTGCTACATATCTAAAAGACGGAAGGCAGACACTTTTTAAAGGTTATAATCAGAGAAAAAAGAATTACTCATTAGAATGTTGAACTGACTGTTCCGTCACCTTTTCCACCGATTGGTGGCTTTAGGGAATTGCAAATGTGAGGGCGTCAGTAAGAAGTAAATTGAAAGCATCTCCTCAAGACGTTCTCTTACAGTACATGCCGCCTTTCTGTTAAGCCTGTTTCCGCTTTCATCCCGTAACTGGACTATAAAGTAGGTTTTAGGCATGTTTACTTTGTACCTAATCTTTTTAAGAATGAAGTTTCACTGTTGGCTGAAGGGACACAACTGCACCTTTTTTTTTTTTAAAGGTAGAAATGAAAATTACATTCTTTTTCTTAGTTAATGAACTCTGGTGCCGGAGCATTATTGTCATGAGTCAGTAGTTTTAGGAAAGAAAGGGACGAGATAACCATGTGATTTAAGAACCTTCGCTTGGCTGTTACAAGGATATGATCTGCTTGGCCTTTCGGTGGGCAGCTTGCCAGTTCCCCCGGCCAGCTGTTCGTTGTAGTCAACCGTTTTGGAACATGAAGGGTATTGTAATTAGCAATGTGGGATACTGATTTGAGAATTAAAAATAGCTCTAGATTTTTAGTAAAACCTAGCGTGTAAGTAAGAGGTAAGTATCTCATATTTTGAGTAGGATGACAAACTTCCCTGAATAAACTTACCTCCTCAAAATTACTCTTTATTAGTACTGATAATGAGGAAAATATAATTAGAAAACTATGAAGGAAAACCTGAAAAAAACTTGCTACTGACATCTTTGTCAAAAATGTTTTATGATTGGTCATCTGTTTTCTCCGGCTGTACGTTTCCCCAGGAAACTTTGTGTTTCAGCATCCTTAATTGACACTGACAAAATTACAAACCAGAGAATTTCCTGGAGGCTTGGCCCTTTGTGTCAGGATGAGCTGTGGACTTCAACCCTTTGATATATACTTTCCCCTTTCATTTAGAAGGGGAAATAACTGCTCTTATTCTGGATAGTTAATTAAAGATCTTAAAATACTATATTTATCAAAAGAGGAAAAAATTGTTAAGAGGTTTTATAAACTGATTCTTATATATACTAGAAGATTCATAGCTGACATTAAAATGCTGTGTTTTCTTATAAGTGTTTCATTGTTTTAATAGTTTAAGTTTTTGTAGAATTTTTTTGGTGCCATTAATAGGGTAATAGCAGAACAATTGAAAATAGTGGCTTTAGGCTAATTGTATTGGTAATTTCAGTAAAGCATAATTGACATGTGAGCATCCAGGAATACCACTCTGGGCATTTAAAGTACATAAAATTTGATTGTAATCTAAGAGCAGTTTCCACTGGGAATAGATTAATAAATTTACATTTTCTTTTTTTTTTTTCTACAGGAAGGAACTTGAAACCTTCAAAGGTAATTTTGTGTTTAATTCTTCACTTTAAAGTAGATGAGAGTTAATTGATGTCAGATGTTCTCTCTTGATGATGATGAAAGAATGCGTTCCATTTTCTTTAAAACAAGCAGTTTACATCAAAAAATAAGAGTTTGCTTAATACTGGTTCTGTAAATTTTATTTAATCACAAGTGGTTTTGATATTCTTTTTTAGCTGTAGCACATGTACCAAGTGCAAGTTTCTGCTAATGACCATCATAAGTAACATGTTTGGATGGCATGGGGCTAACTTTGAAGTTGTTGAGAATTGTAGTTTGGGAAGATTCTGATTTCTGTTGTGCAGTCTGAGCCACATGGAGAACTGTGGTGGTAAAGGCAGAGGTGTGTCCCTGCAGCTGACCCAGGAGCCACCTGAACCTCCTGCGAGGTGTCGGTGCTGGGTCCTGCTCTGCCCCCATCTTGTAACCTTGAATAAGTCTCTTTACTTCAGGCTTAGTTTCTCCATCTGTATAATTAGAAGCTTTGATGAACTATATTCTGAGATGCTTAAAGTGCCCAGCATTGCTTTTTAATTTTAGGAAACTTTTGCAGGTGGGGCACTGAAGATTAATTCTTGGCCATGTTGACCCTTACTGGTCATGGAGAAACATGAGTGAAAAACAGGGAAAACTGCAAACTTTTCAGCATCTCAGAGTGCTTCCAATTTGTCATTTTTCAGTTACTCGTTAGCAATAAGGTAGTGAAATCACTATTCTCAGAATTTCAGTAACCAAGAAGACTTTGAATTTTGCTTATTATGTTTCATATATAAGCTAGTATTAACTTTCAGATTTACTGAATGGTTAAAGATTTTCCAGTATACATTTACAATTTACTTGTTTCTGTGTGTGATGTTTGGTGGTTTTTAAGAAAAAAATAACTTGCCCTCAAGATAAAAGGTATAAAGGCTTATTCCTATTATGACTATAATTTAACAGACTTGTTTTGGCCAGATAACTGTTAGACTGACTGCAGCTGTATGATTAAGTCCATGGCCAGTTTGTTGAAGGCAGTGTTAAATGATTGTCTGATAGAATGTATTATCATGGCTATCATTATTCTTAATCAATTTGTAAACCACAACTCGTGTGCATTATTTTTCATCAGTGGTTTAAAATAAGATTTGAAATCCTCATAAAATGGTCTTTTCCCTCTCATTCTTACTCTTAGTCTGCTAGCATCCTGTTATATCATGTTAGGAGAAGAAAAAAGAATCAAGTTAATATTAAAAGACAGGCAGGGACACAGATTATGCAAAATGTCAACTTTGCTTGCATCTCAGTACAGAGGTTCTTTTTTTTTTTTTGTATGACAATATTTCCAGAAAAAGAAGAGACCAGCAGTTTGCAAAAAGGTTAGGTAGTGTTATGTATTACCAGATAGAATGATTCAATTTATACTGAAATATCTTGTTTATACACACGTCTCTAATTATGCACAATGTTTAATAGCACATCTAACTCACCCACAGGCCAATTAAAGCCCTTAAATTTGAACAAACCCTAAATGATTATTGTATCATGTCTAGTTCTTTTTTAAGTACTGATTTTAATAAAAAATCCTTTCCTCTTGAGTGTTTTGCTAATATTTCAAAAGCATGAGTAGCATATAATAAGGAGAAAAAAGTAACTGCTTTTCCAAGTTATTAGTGGAGGAAAAAATCAAACATATTGCAACAGTTTCTTAGTTTTTGAACATTGCTTTTGCCTTTGTTTTTCCTTTATAGATTGCAGGGAAACAAAAGGTGTTTTACTTCCTCTAATTGTTTTCTTCAACTTGTGGTTTATGTAGAAGCTTTTTGCTAAGTTGGGGAAGAACTAACTTTTGGGGACCAAAAGACAAAATTAGATCCACTGAGTTCTGGGTTCTTCCTCCTGTACTCCATTGAGGTTAGTGAGTTAAGTTCACCTTTCTCTTGTGAGATATATAGTAAATCTCTACAGTATTATTGAAGCTATTTGTTGTTTATTTGCTTTTTTAAATATTGGCAACAGGAAGGTTTTGTCTATTCCCTCAAATATTACATTCCTTTAAACACTTTATTAACAGTCACTTGAATATTATACACTGTAAAAGGGAGGGTAGGATCTTAAAAATCTTAATTTTTTATTTTCAGTGGGGAAGGAATTCCATTATTATAACTACATGTATAGTGAGTAAGTTTTTCGCAGTCCTTAAAGACATAGGAGATTGGCCACAAATAGACACATCTGTTATTTAGGGATTATTCATCATTTTTCCACTTTAATTTTTAAAATAGACTGTCATTTCATGTATAAATCTTAATCACTCTTAAGTATAAGTCTAGAAATATTGTGCCACTGAAAAGAGCAGAGGAGAGGCGACCCAGGATTGACTGTTGTTCTTAGCTCCGTAACATTCCCGACTTAACATGGCTCTTTTTACCGTCACTTTAGTGCCTCACCAAATTAACTGTTATTCTCCTGTTTCTCTGTAAAACGTACTGACTGATATACCACAGGGTGCTGAGTGCTGAAGGCTGATAGGCTACCTTCTTGCCAATACAGCCAGATACTTCTCTCTCTACCTAGAGTGAGTTCTTCACTCCCAGGTTCGTTTACCTTTGTTATTGTTGTGCATATTATTGTAATATGCAGCTTAATTAAATTCATGTAAAATGATGAAACGTCACTGTTAAGGAGAACTGTTTATAAGAAAATTAAGTTGACTGCTTTGGAAGACTTAATATACATAAATAGCTTTTAAAAATTGCTGCAGAAGGTATATTAGGAATTAGAAAAGATAGGGGGAAAATAATAAAAATTCTGAAAGATTCTGTACACAGGTTGTTTCACACATCTTAAATTCCTGCTCTGCTTTTAAAAATAGGCTAGAAATTTTATTCAGTGCAGTAGGGGTGGCTTACAAAAGAATTTTCACTCAGTGGACCTATACTCAAAGAATTCATGAATCAGACTATGGTTATATTGTGAATTAAAGTGTTTGTTTATGTGTCTTTTTAATGGATTCCTATGCTTACTGCTTTTTAAAAATGAAACAACCACTATAGTCTCCATAAGAGGACATCCATTGAAATTTCCTCCTTAGTATGTTACCCAACTGTGTCAGAAATGTGCCTGACAGTGTGAAAACATGCCAGGATTTAGGAGTTAGCACTATCACAGCGAGTGGATCATCTTGAGAGTGTGTGGAGAAAGAGCTGTTAACACTGATCACATTTAAGGCTTAGCTCTGGAAAGCAGAGCCGATGAGACAGGGCCAGAGTGATCATGGGAAATAGAGGAAGACCAAGACAATTTAGTGACTAGGAAGTCCAGAGAGGAGAAAGCTTAAAGGAGAATCAGTTATCAGTGATACAAATAATGCAAAGAAGTTGAGCAGAATGGGGGCATCTTGTTGGATATGACAATGAACAGAGAGGTGGATTTGACAATGAACAGATAAGAGCTATTTGTAAAGGGAAAATCCAGATTGCAAATCAGAAGTACATGAGAAATTAGGGAATAAAGGTGACATGAACTTGACATAAACAAGATTGAGGGAGGTGAAATTGAAGATGTTAAAGGGTTGATTAAGATCTAGAGAAGATGGGAAAAAAATATCCAGATAGGTTATCCTTGGAGAGGATCCAGGGATATCTCTTTCTCTGAGAACTTAGAGAAGGAAAGGACGGCAGGTAATATGGGAAAAAGAATCTGTGTAAGGAAAGATAGTCTGAATTTGCAAGGCTAGGCTCGGAAGTAGAAATAAAAACCAGAACAAATGTGCTTCGGTTAACACAAAGGTGGGAATTGAAGAGAATGTAGGATGGATCAGCAGAGCCTGGTAATCTTGTGTGCTAAGGAGATCGTGATTAAAATGGTTGGCCATGGAACTCAGGCTGGAAAGGAGAGGCCTGCCTAGACCAGTAAAATAAGCAAGCTGTGAGGTACCGGGCATGGCGGACACCCTAGAGATGAAAACCATTTCAGTGGTTGAGGTACATCTTGTGGTCAAAGAAAGAATTTCAGTTTGAGGTCTCAGGTGAAGCAGTCCCAGTAATAGTGTACATTTGCGTAAAAAAGAACTAGAACTGAAGAGGTCATCTGAGTCTGAGACTTCAGAGGCTGTTATGATCCTCACTTTGACTCTTGGATGTGGATTATGCATACTAGTGGCTTGGCAGCTGTAGCACATTACAGATATGGATGTAATAGAGAGATGGTAGAATTGGTGGTTCAATTCAAGTGTTAGCTCAATGTATAACGCGAAACTTCTCAGCTGCCATTTGGCAGTTGATAGGTCACAGAGACTCAGGTTGAATAATACTCTGTCCTCTGTGCTTAAGAGGCTGAAGCACTGCCGTAAAGCTTGTAGAAAGGCCAGTATATAATTTTAATACAAAGTAAAAAATACTAAAACAGAAATAAGTACACCAAGGTGGGAGTAATCAGCCATTCAGAGAGAGGTACTTGAGCTGGGTCTGACTGATGAGTGCTAACCTGGCTGCAAGGAGTAACAAGGACATTCCAGGAAGAGGAGAGAACAATTGCAGAGATGCAGAGGTGTTTATTTGACTTCAATAATACAAGCTGAAATTTAACTTCTTGTTCAGTGAGGGAACTACAGATAATTAGTGCTGAAGCATATGGTGTGTGGGGTGAAGGAGTGAGGGATGAAGTAGAGATGTGGGCAGGGAACAAATGATACACACACAGCCTTATATGTCATGCAAAGGAGTTGGACTTTTTCCTTTGGGCTAGTGGTCTCCAAAGAGGCATGTGAGTGTGCAAAATATTAGGAGTGGAGAAGAAAACTGGAACTTCTACTTGTTTCTTTTTTATGTCATCCTTGTAAATTTAAATTTTTTGTATATATTCTGTTATAAGCTAGTACAGGAATTGATGTATGATATATAAATATACACATTTGGGGTGCATGTTAAACGTTTTTGTTCATGGCGGAGGTGCATGGTCAGAAGACTTAGAGGTTACTGTTGCAGCCCATAGAGACAAGGCAG